TGGAATCTATGTTACCTGGACTCGCGACCTACCGCTGGCTTACACGTGTCGACACGACACGACACGGATACCGGTACAAAATCTAGCTCCGATCTGGTCAAAAGAGGCCGGATACATTGACCACATACTGCTGTTAGGGTGGGTTGAAGTTTGACGCTCGGCGGTCGAATGTGACGGGAGAAGGTTGACGGATGTCTGAAGTTGGAAGGGAAAGAACGGATTTGAAGTTGGATAGGCAGATCTGAATTCTGAAATTGATCTGAATTTCTGAAGTTAGCCAGAGAAGACGAAGCGTGCGTGAGAAAATGCGTGAGCGGATTTTTACTTTTTTTTTGTAACGCGTGAAAGACATGAAAAAACGCGTGAGCAGATTTTTTTTTTTTTTTTGTAACGCGTGAAAGATTTAATCTGTACGTGTGAGGCTTTGTATAAACATAATAAAAAGACTTTAATTTTTTTTTTTTTTTTTTGGTACAGTAAAGGGAGGCCATAGGCCTAAGCTAGGATCTGTCGGGGATAAGCCACCCCCGTGTTATCATGCTGCAGCCACTCTCCGATTCCCGTAGGTAGGGACATAACGCGATGAAGGCCAGGTGGATAAGATACCGCCAAACTCGCCATGTGGTCAGCAGCGAAATTCGCCTCTCGATGAACGTGGTGGACTCGAACTTCCCAGGCCCGTGAGAGCAAAGCGAGGATGGCTTTAACCATTGATTCGTGAGTGCCAAAACAACCATCGGGCTGAGATACCATCTTACGCACACATTGGCTATCGGTTTCAGCGACCACCTTCCGGTATCCTAACTCCCACGCCAAAATGAGCCCCTGAAAAAGACCCCATAGCTCGGCTCCGGTAATGGTGCAAAACCCAATGTTGAATATAAATCCCCCGAGCCATCGTGTTTAATTGAATGTGGCTTTTAATTGATGTGACTTTTAATGTAAAAAAAAAAAAATGACTTTTAATGGGATAGTGTAAATTTAACTGAATGTTAATTTAATACATGCAGCTGTAATTTAATTTGGATATGTGTATACTAATGTACTTTTAATTGAATTATGTAATCTTAACTAAATACATTTAATTGGATATGTGTACATTGATTATGTTCATGTATGACTTTTTAAATTTTAATTAAGCCAAAATTCAATTGATTAATTATGTACATTGTATATAGAGCTTTTATATATTAATTAAGTCAAAATTTTAAATGTGCATGAATGGGACCTAAAAAAAATTAATTACCACTCATACTATTTATCTTATATAAATCATCTTTCAAATGAATAATTTTACATAGTAAACAGAAATTTCAATTTCAAAATGTCTTCATCCAACAAAGGAAAAGAAAAAATTACCTTTAGACCACTAAACCCACAAAAAAATGATTTTGATGATACTCTTTTATGGAATCATTTAAAAGTTATTAACTTGGCAAGTGACGGAGGAGGAATAGAGTGTGGTCTTGTAACTATAGTCACAAGAAAGTTACAAGATCGTATTCTAAAGTGAAGGCTCACTTACTAAGGCTTTCAGGAAGTGGTGTCACCATTTGCAACTCAATTTCAAATGATATTGTTGTTGTTATAAAGAAAGAACATGATGATACAGAAAGAAAAAAAAAGGCTAATAAAGAAATACGAGCTAGAAGGCAAGTTGACTATTTGAGTTTGCCACCTGGCACGAATCTCTTGCAGCAGAAAAAAAAAAAAAAAGAAAACCAGGTGCTCTAGAAAAAGCGTTCAATGTTACTGACAGAGATATTGCTGATAAGATATGCGCAATGATGTTCTATGCATGTGCGTTGTCATTCAACCTTGTACGCAGTCCTCAATTCAGGAAATATTCATTGTTTTTGGCAAATAGCAAATTAACGGGCTATATTCCTCCAAGTTATGATAGACTGCGCACTACTCTTCTTGCGCAAGAGAAGGCACATATTAATGTGAAAGTTCATCATATCAAAGAAAGTTGGAATAAAAAAAAGATTATCTATTTGTTTTGACGGTTGGTCTGATATACAGAGAAATCCATTAATTATTATTATGGCTGCCTCTGAAAGTGGAGCATTATTTCTTTCATCCACAAATGCAACTGGAGAAGTGAAAGATGCTGAGTATGTAGCCAACATTTTCATCCGTGCAATCGAAGATGTTGGACCAAATAATGTCGTACAGGTCATAACAGACAACGCAAGTAACTACAAGGTGGCTGGTGGGATAATTGAGCTTAAGTATCCTCATATCTTTGGGACACCTTGTGTGGTCGATAGCTTGAATCTAGCCTTAAAAAAAATGTGCGATCCTCCTGAAAACATAGGTGCGTATGTTCAATTTGCTTGGATTTCTAAGTTGATTGTTGATTGTCAAAGCATTAAAAAATTTATTATGAATCACGACATGACACATGCAATTTTTAACGACTATTCATCTTTAAAGTTAAAAATTGTTGAGACTAGATTTACATCTGGGATTATCATGGCTGACCGTTTGAGCAAGGTAAGAAAGGCCTTGGAGAGCATGATCATGGATGAAAGGTGGAAAACCTACAAAGGAGATGGAAGAGTGCAGTTGATAGTAAAGCTCGTGAAGTCAAGCAATGCATTGTTGATGACCAGTGGTGGGATACACTCGACTAGCTAATGAATCTCACTAGACCTATCATAGATTTATACGGGCTGCTGATACAGATTCTCTTATTCTTCATCTTTTATATGATATGTGGGATACAATGATAGAGAGAATCAAAGTTGATGTTTTCAGGCATGAGGAGAAAGATTTGCTCGTTGGTCAATCAGTTTTTTTTTATGCCATTCACGAAATTCTGGAGGAGAGGTGGAACGAAAGTAATGCCCTGTTGCATTTGGCACATTCCTTTGTACCGAAATACTATACGGATTCCTGGCTTAAAGATGGAGATGGTATCCAAAGTTGGCACCACATGAAGATCAAGAAGTCTCAATGAATAGAATGATGTGTTTCAAGAGAATTTTCGAGGATCCAAATGATCTTAGAAAAGTGTATGGAATATGGAGAATTTTCCAGTGCAACTAGTTTATTTAGTGATTCTTTCATTAAAGAGGCAAGGGTGTGCGAAGAACCAATATTGTGGTGGGCTAACTACGGATAGAATGCAAAGTTGTTGCAATCTTTGGCATTCAAATTACTTTCGCAGCTAGCATCGTCATCATGTTGTGAAAGAAATTGGAGTACATACTCCCAGATCCAAAATGTGAAGAGGAACAAGCTAACGAGTTCAAGAGCCGAGGACTTGATTTATGTCCATGCCAACATGAGACTCTTGTCAAGAAAGAAGAATTCATATAAGGAAGGACCTTCACGATATTGGGACGTTTGTAAGTACTTTTATTTGAGTATTCTAAACTATTCACTCATATAATATGTTTTCAATCTTATTAACATTTTATTATTTTATAAGTGGAGACAAATTTGATATTGATGGAAACCAGCTAGCTGATCTATCTATCAATGAACCGGACCTAGAAACGATCACATTTGATGAATCTTTGGATGAGGAGAAGGACGGAAATGATGAGTAGAAAATTGAGTTAAAATGTTAATTTATTATTATTATTTTTCTATTTCAATGTTGCATGAGTAATATATTTGTAATGGAATATTATTGCTTTTTCTTTTTTATTTCAATATTGCATTAGTAATATATTTGTATTAAATTATTATGAATCTAAATTTGCAAGGATCTATATTTAAATATTTAATTTATTACATTGATTGTTGTACCCGCTTACCCGTGTCCAAGTTTGGGTACGTGTCCCCAAATCTTAACTTTTAGAAATATAAATACCGGATATTTGAATATGTACCCGTGTCCGACACATGTACCCAAGTCCATGTAACATAGCTTGGAATTAGGGCTATGTTTCTTCCCTTTTGAGGTACCAGCATCTTTAGACGCGTTTAAGCTTTCACTGTGGCTACTATTTTCCCATTTTGAAGCCATGAGCGTTGGGCAATTGAGCATCCAAGGAAAATGGGATTTTAGGGTTCAAATTTTGAAGCTCAAAATCAGAACTCGAAAATCGATTTAGGGTTTTCAACTTCAAAATTGAAGACGTAAATGATAAAATGACAAAGGGATTTGATGAACTATTATGGAGTTTAGAATTAATTTAGGGTTTGGAATCGAGTTTGATCCGATTCTTGATTTGCAATTTAGGGGAGAAGTATTTTTTTTT